GGCCGGACCGGGCCGGGCCGGGCTGGGCGGCTGGAGCCGGGGCCCGGCCTGGATCCTGAGCGGCCGCGGAGTCGACTGCGCAGGGCGGGGCGGCCGGGATTTAAAGGGGCCGCATCACGCGCCGCCGCGGTCGCTGCGAGGGGGCGGGGTGGGAGGCCAGCGCCCAGGATGCCCGCAGCCCCGGCTCTGGACAGCGGCCCACGCGAGCTGGTGCGTGCGGGGCTCGGTGCGTGCAGGGCTCCCGCCTCCGTAAGTCCAGGCGAGGGCCATTGTGAGGTTCTCCCGTGGCGCAGGGACAGACGTGGAGGTGCCTGCGAGTCTCCTTTCTGTACCCTCCCACGACCGACTCCCAGCACCCAGACCTGAACCTCACTTGCATTTTTCTCGGGGGCCTTCCGACCCTTCTCTAGGGCTGAGAGCATCTAGGAACGAGAGGGGACCGGCATGGCAGGCTTGTCTCCAGCTGGGAGGTGCGACCAGGAGTGGCCGCTGACCCTCCTGCGCCCACCAGTACTGCTCTTCCCAGGGCGCTTCTCCAGGGAGCCTGGGGTATCTGCGGACGGGGGAGGCGCTCCTACTCGGTACCATAAGGACAATGGGCCGCTCTCCAGAAGGAGTAAAAGATCCATTGTTTGTAGGTGTAGAGCACCCACCAGGGCCCAACCGGCTAGTTTCCTGGGTGCCAGGCATGGCGTGGGCAGGAGACAGGCTCAACCTGCAGTTTGGAGGAGGGAGCAGCCAGGTCCAACGGATGAAGCAAAGTCCTGGCTCCTAATTTTACAGCGGCAGCCTCAGCCTTTATTGCTGATTTCTAACAACACCTTCACACCGGACTAATAGCAGACTTTCTCCCAGGCCTCTGAGGGAACCAGGAATGGGGCAAACAGTAAAGGATGAGTCCTTCGCAGCCTCCGGGTAAGCGTTTCCGGAAGCTCCTCTCCTGAGAGCAAAGCCACCCAGGCCAAGGCTAGCCTGAAAGCCACCGTTTGACAGTTCAGAGAAACTCAGGGGAGAGCACCGCCTCATCTCCACAGCTGGCCAAGTTGGGAGCCTTCTGTAGGAAACCGGTTCCGTTTGTTTTCCTGTGTTTTCACAGGCATCTTCTATTTGTGGCAAAGGATAGCAGTTTTTCATTTTGAATGTTATATAAAGTCTTAATGTTGTTTTTTAAAAAAATCCTGTAATGTCAGCACTCCAGAGGCAGAACCCAAAAAATCAACCATAGGACTGAGACCAGCCGGGGCTACACAGCAAGTTCCAGGCCAGCTGGGGTTACAAAGAGACCTTGTGTCAAGAAAACAAACAAACAACAAGGAGCTGGAGAGATGGCTTAGCAGTTACCAGCATTTACTGCTCTTCCAGAGGACATGAATTTGGTTCCCACACACATCAGGTAGCTCACAACTACCCTTAACTCCTGTTCGTAGGGGGGGCGGGGGAGGATGGGGGATCTGATACCCTTTTCTGACTTCTACCTGCACACACATGGCAGACACGTACACACACATACACACACACACACACACACACAAATAAAAATTTAAAAGCAACAACAACAAAGGCATGTCAGAGCTGAAGGTGTAGCAAGGTGGTGAGCACATGCAGTAAGCCCTTGATTCCAGTCTCAGTACTACCAAAAATCAACTAAACAAAAAAAAAAAAATTTTTTTTTTTCCAGGCACAGCAGTCATACTTTTAACCCCAGAACTCAGGAGGCTGAGGCAGACAGATCTCTATGAGTTCCAGGCTAGCCAGGGCTACATAGCGAGTTCAAGTCCAGCAGGGTTACATAGTGAAATCATGTCTCAAAAAAGGGTGTTGTTAGGGACCAATTCTTCCCTATAGTAATACCGTGGAGTAGGAGAGCAGGAATGAAGAAAGCCCATGAAGGTCCAGACTTCTGCTGTGATGTCTGGGGAGCAGGGCCTTTACAGAAACAGGACCGTGGAGTGAGGGAGAGCTGGTGTCCCAGCACTGGACCCTCACAGCAGCCTGTCTACCCCCAGCCTTCTCCCTTTGAAACAGGGCAGCTGTTACCTGGCACCTACTTCCCACTACCCTGTGCCCTTGTAATTAATTAATCTGGGCCTGCCTGCCACCCCTCTAGACATTTCCTGGTTCTGCCTGCTGCCCTTCAGCTGGGATACACCTTTACCTGAGGGTCACCTTCAGGTACCTGAGGACCCACCCACTTGGAAGATGGAGCCACATAGGCACAGAAAAGTCCTGCTTTTTCTACAAAATCTGGCTGTGAGCCTTTCAACTTTTGTTTTGCTTCCCACATGGTGAAAAATGCCTTTTTGTGTTGAGCTTATTTGCCAGCCTTTAGCCTGTTTTGTCTTCCTGGAGATTTTCTGGGACAACTCTTGGAGGTGGTCTAAGGGGCCCAGCCCTGGGGAGGTCTAGGAGCTGAGTGAGCTGAGGAAAAAAAAAAAAAAAAATCTACCTATGTTTTCCGCATACTCTAAGTGAAACTTGATATGTCCTTTAATTATGAATGGGAGCAGCAGAGTCTAGTAGAATCACCGACTGCTCTTGCAGAGGACCTGGGTTTGGTTCCCAGCATCCACATGGCAGCTAACAACTATCAATGACTCCAGTTCTAGGGGATTTGTGTCTTCTGACCTCCATGGGCATTGCATGACATGGGTACACTTACATACATGCAGACAATATATTCATATTCATAAAAATAACAGAATTATTCTTAAAAATAGGTGATGCAGGGCTGGAGAGATAGCTTAGCAGTTAAGAGCACTGACTGCTCTTGCAGAGGACCCAGGTTCGAGTCCTAGCACCCATGTGGCAGCTAACATCTATAATTCCAGTTCCCGGGGAATCCAACAACTTCCTCTGACCTCCATGGGCGTTGTGTGACATGGTGTACTTACACAGATGCAAGCAATACACTCATACACATAAAAAAAAAATAATAATAAAATATTTTTTAAAAAATACGTGATGCTTGGGAGGCAGAGGCAGGCAGATTTACAGTTGTAACTTCATATTTCTGATATTAGTCCTGACCCTAAATTTCACAATTTAATAAGTTCATAAGGAAGCACACATATTTCTCTATCATGGCTTTTTTTTTTTGTCTTTTTGAGACAGGTTCTCCCTGTAGCCCCAGCTGACCTGGAACTTGCTATGTAGACCAGGCTGGCCTCAAACTCACAGAGATCTGCCTGCCTCTGCCTCCCAAGTGCTGGGATTAAAGGCGTGCGCCACCACGCCCAGCTCTATCATTGTTTTTTATTTATTTATTTTTATTTTATATATATGAGTCTATTGCCTCTATGTATGTGAGTGTACCCTTGTTGCACATTGCCACAGAGGTCAGAAGAAGGCTTCAGATTCCCCTGGAACTGGAGTTAAGGACTGTTCGTAGCCACCCATATGGCTGCTGGGAATTGAACTCTGGTCCTCTGCAAGAGCAGTCAGTGCTCTTAACCCCTGAGCCATCTCTCCAGACCCATAGCTTTCAAGATCTATTTATACTGGGTATGGTGGGGTACACCTTTAATCTCAGTACCTGAGAGGCAGAGGCAGGCAGATCTCTGTGAGATCCAGGCCAGGTCTATGGTCTACATAGAGAATCCCAGGGCACCTGGGGCTACAGGGAGACTCTGTCATTTGAAACTTGCAGGATGAACTCACATTCTGGGAGAAATCTGTATAGAATTAATACTTTTTGTTTTTGTACATGGCCACAACTTCTGCTAAAATAAAACATAATTTTGACATTTATATTTCAATATTCTTCTTGTAACACAGCATCTTTCAAAACATAGGTCTATGAGATATGATGGGATGTATCTGGAATCCCAGCATTTAGAAGGAGGTGAGAGGATTAAGACTTCAAGGTCGCCGGGCGTGGTGGTGCACACCTTTAATCCCAGCACTTGGGAGGCAGAGGCAGGCAGATCTCTGTTCAAGGCTAGCCTGGTCTACATAGTGAGTTCCAGGACAGCTGGGACTACAGGGACCAAAAAAAAAAAAAACTTCAAGGTCAGTGCTGGAGAGATGGCTCAGTGGTTAAGAGCATTGACTGCTTTTGAAGAGGACCAGGGTTCAGTTCCCAGAATCCATATGGCAGCTAACAGCCATCCTAACTCCAGTTCCAGGTGATCCAACACCCTCTTCTGACTTCTGCGGGCATTGCACAACATGGGTGCACTTACACACATGCAGGCAATACACTCATGCACATAAAATAAAAATAGAACATAAAAAAAATTAAATCCTTTTTTTAAAAAATGGTGGCAAAGGTGGGAGGGAGACATACTGGGAGATGTGTGGCTGGGGGATGGAAAGAGGAAGTACGGATGGATATAATTAATGTATACATTTATGAAATTGTCCAAGGATAAATAAAAAGATTTTTTTTTGTTTGGTCGTTTTGAGACCAGGTCTCCCTGTAGCCCAGCTGGCCTGGAACTCACTATGTAGACCAAGATGGCCTTGAACTCAACAGAGATCCATCTACCTTTGCCTCCTGAGTGCTGGGACTAAAGGCGTTGGGCCACCATGGCCCTTTTTGACCTTTTTTGAGACAGGGTCTCTCTATAGTTCCATCTGGCTTGTAACTCACTTTCTAGACCAGGCTGGTCTCTAACTCACAGAGATCTGCTTACCTCTGCCTCCCAAGTGCTGAGACTAAAGCCATGCATCACCACGCCCAGCTAGAAATTTTTTTAATGGTGATGCATGCCTGTAATCCCAGCACTTGGGAGGCTAAGGTAAGAGGATTGTTTTTGGTTAATTTTTTCTTTCCTTTTAACTTTTTATTGAATTTTTGTGTATTTCATACAGAAAATCATCTTTATACCCCTCCTATCCCCTTTGGCA